GACTTGGGACCAGCAAAGCAAATTCTTGGCGCGAGGATCGTTCGAGATCGAGGTGCCAAGAAGATATGGTTGTCACAAGAGAAGTACATTGAAAAAGTACTTCAACGTTTCAACATGGATAATGCTAAGGCGGTTAGTTGTCCTCTTGCTAACCACTTTACATTGACATCCAAACAGAGCCCGTCTACTGAGAAGGAAAAGGCGGAGATGGATAAAATTCCATATGCTTCAGCAGTGGGAAGTTTGATGTACGCCATGGTGTGTACAAGGCCAGATATTGCTCATGCAGTTGGAGTTGTCAGTCGGTTTCTTTCCAAACCAGGAAAGGAACATTGGGAAGCTGTGAAGTGGATCCTCAGATACCTTCGAGGTAGCTCAGAAATGAGTCTATGTTTTGCAGATGGTGAACCTGTCCTTGTTGGCTATACAGATGCTGACATGGCAGGTGATGTTGATTCGAGGAGATCCACTTCTGGGTACTTGATTACCTTATCAAGGGGAGCAATATCGTGGCAGTCAAGGCTACAAAAATGTGTAGCTCTTTCCACAACAGAAGCTGAGTACATAGCAGCAACGGAAGCGTGCAAGGAGATGATCTGGATGATGAAGTTCTTGAAAGAACTTGGGTTTCAACAAGAACAACCGCAGTTGTTCTATGACAGTCAAAGTGCTATTCATCTTGCAAAGAATGCTTCATTTCATGCCCGATCAAAACATATCGATGTTCGATATCATTGGATACGAGATGTGCTTGAAATGAAGCAGCTACAACTAAAGAAGATCCATACTGACGAAAATGGATCTGACATGTGTACCAAGACTCTTCCAAGAGAAAAGTTTGAGTTCTGTCGATCAGCTGCAGGGATGACGAAGTCACCTATGTAGTCAGGCGGGGGAGAATTGTTGGCCCGCCTACATGTGGTGAGGAAGAAGCCAGCAGTTGGCGGTGGTAATTGGAAAAGAACAAAAAAAAAAAAAAAAAAAACTAAAACTAATGAAGGGAGCGGTGGACAGTTGGGAGGTGAATATCTCACCCAATTGCAATTAATCCTTCTTCCTTGCTAGCCTATAAAAGGCAGAGGCAGTAGCCTCAAAACATCATCCCTCACCATTCCATTTTTCCATCTTCATCATTCTTCTTTGCTAGCTCTCGGTTCTATTTCTTTCTTGTGGTTTCGGTTGTGAAACGTTTTCACAATCACGGGTAGATAGGAGATTTCCTTGTGAGTGAAATAGTGAGGTTGTTTGGGAAACACCGTGTGTTCTATTTCTTGTATCGAGAAAATCTCTGTAACCTACCATTGTTATAGTGAAAAAAAATACTCCGGAGCTGCAGTTCCCGTGGACTGGCCCAAAATCAGGGTATACCACGTAAATCCTCGGTGTCATTTATTATTATCTATGATTGTTGTTATTTTGAGAATAGTTGTAGTATATTGCATTATTAAATTACCGAAGTAAATTGATCTAAGTAAGTTGGTTACCGTAATTCTGGAGGCTCTGCCACCAGGTCCAACTTATTTGTGAACTTTTTACAAGCGTGTAATTTCTTAGTGCAATATATTTACCCGCTATTCTCACCCGCTGCGCCCAACAATTACCTGTGTCAACTCCGAGCCTTTTAAGTTGAATAGGGTAATTAGCTAATTATTATACATATAAATAATAAGTTGTGTAAACTTTGTTTATCAATTAACGACAAACTTCACCTTTTATTCTCTGTGCAACGAAACAGCGAGGCGGGCAAACATGGACGATAGCACTCGGCCGCCGCGACGCGCGGAGCGCCAGCAAGAGCGCCGCCAACAACCAACTCCCGGCTCCCGGATCCAGCCTGGCAACGCTGGTGAGCGCGTTCTCCAACAAGGGCTTCACTGCGCGTGAACTCACCGTCCTCTCGGGGGCCCACACAATCGGCCAGGCACGCTGCACCAACATAGCCGCCGCCTTCGCCACCACCCGGCGATCCTACTTCCGTTAACCGCTTATTGATATGGCGGTTAGTGAATAACTAGTAGGTCAAAATAGTTATGGATAACCAAACTAATAATCTTTATTGGTTAAGCGTGTGTTATTGGTTCGATTAGTGGCGAGTTTGGCTGCTAATCACTAACCAAGAACAATATTGGGACTTTTTTCCGGTAATTATCTTGATCTTATTAAAGCGCTAGCTTATAGCCAAACCAGCCACAGCTTCCCTTATCGAGAAAATATTTCTGCTAAACAATCTGCAGAACCTAGTACAACTCTCTATTGGGCCGAGAACATGTTGAGAGACCAGCCCAGCAAACGTCCGCAGCATCCCGCACGTTCATTCTGAGCCCTTGGATGAATTGATTACTTATAATACACATGCTACTGTAACCCTAGGCACTAGAGAAATAGGGTATAAAGAGCATTGGTACTGGCCTAGCGCCGAACTAAGAAATAAAATCATCATCTTCACCCTGTGGACGTAAGCCTCACATATCGTGAGGAAGAACCACGTTAAACCTTGTGTTCTTCGAGTTTTCGTACTATTTCTCATGGTATCAGAGCGGTAGGTTCTAGTTTAACCATATCCGCAATCGGCACTCGTCAATCATGGTGAACAGTGATGAGACCGAGGCCAAGAACAAGACTCACGTCGGCGGCACCAACTCAGACCCAGATCTCCCTCCAGTGTATCAACTAAACAACTCGGATGGACCGGGCAATATGCTGGTAGGCGAAGTCTTGACGTCGGCAAATTATGGAGAGTGGGCGCTCGACATGAAGGATGCTCTGCTCGCCAAAAACAAATTCGGCTTTGTGGATGGAACCCTGATCAAGCCCACTGATCTGGCGGAGAAGAACGCTTGGATTCAGTGTGACGCAATGGTGAAAGGGTGGCTGAAAACTTCAATGGATAAAGAAATTCGAAGCAGTATTCGTTTCGCGGAAACGGCCCTGGAGATCTGGTCCGACCTTCGAGATAGGTTTGGCCAAGGAAGTTCCTCTCGCGCCTACGAGCTAAGACAGTTAATCAGTCTGTTGCAGCAGGAAAAACGATCGGTTTCGTCGTTCTATACCAAGCTGCGTTCTTATTGGGAAGAGGCGTCAGCTATAGCTCCTCTTCCGAGCTGTTATTGCGGCCACTGTACCTGTGACGTATCCAAACAAATTCGCGAATATCAGGAGCACTCGCGGTTGATCGATTTTTTGATGGGTTTGGATGAAGGGGCTTTCGGGGCTGTTCGCACCCAAGTCTTGGCTATGAAGCCGACCCCCAACCTGCCCGAAGCTTTCAATATTGTCCTCAACACAGAACAGCAGAAGCTGATCTCACAGAATCGAAAGGCATCACCCGAAGCAGCTGCTTTTGCTGCCCATGGTGAGAATAATCGGCAGGCTCGTGGAACGGGGGAGCAACGCGAACGAGTTCGCTGTACTCATTGCCAGAAGACAGGGCACCTCAGGGAAGCTTGCTGGGAATTGATCGGGTATCCGCCTCGGGACAGGCAAAACGAAAGACACGATGGCGGTGATCGTCAAGATCGACAGGGTGATGAACCCCGACGTCGGCCTAGAGAACCCAGTCATGGGACAAGGGTTGAGCAGCAAGGTCGTGAGCCGCGCGCTTCTAAAGCCGAGGCAGCTGAAAGCCCGGTACCAGGTTTCACGATAGCTCAACTCAATCAACTGAAACACTTCTTCGGCCTGCAGGATAAAGGAGCAGATGAACATGACCCAGCCGCTCATATGCCAGGTATTTTTTCTAGCACTACTGAGTGGTTGATTGATTCGGGGTGCAATGAGCACATTACCATGGATGAATCTTTGTTGTCGGGTAAAGAGGCACAGGTTAATAGTCAGCCAGTTCGTATTCCGAATGGCGAGAGCATTCCAGTAAAACACGTGGGTTCAGTTATGCTACAACCTGGGTTTTGTTTGCATCGAGTACTTCACGTGCCGGAGTTTCAATGTAATCTGATTTCTGTGAGTAGATTGACAAAGGTTAATCGCGTGGCTTTGATATTCCTTGATGGTTTTTGCATCATCCAGGACTTACAATCCAAGAAATTGATTGGGAAGGGTGAACTCAGAGATGGTCTTTATTACCTGCGCCTATTTGGAGCTGGGAAGGCACAGGCTTGTAGTGTTCAGCATAAAAGGTCCGTGGAGATGGCCAACTGGCATGCACGGTTGGGATACCCCTCTCCGGAGAAGCAGTCATACGTTGATCGTCTGATGTCTTTTAGTTTACAGCCGAATAAAGGCCTCTGTCACTCTTGTTCACGGGCCAAACAATCTCGTCTCCCTTTTCAGTCAAGTACCATTAAAACTTTTGCCAGCTTTGAACTGATTCATGTAGACCTTTGGGGAGGTTATAAGATTGCATTATTGAGTGGTGCCCATTATTTTTTGACGATTGTGGATGATTTTACTCGTGGAGTTTGGGTATACTTGTTGCGCTATAAGTCAGATGTTGAGAATCATTTATTACAATTCTTCCAGATGGTGAAGACACAGTTCAGGTCTCGAGTGAGACGCATACAAGCAGACAATGGGTCTGAGTTCAGCTCGGAGTCTTTGCGTAGCTACTATGCTCGTGAAGGCATACTGCTGCAAACATCGTGCACAGACACACCACAGCAGAATGGAGTGGTGGAAAGAAAGCATCGACACATCCTCGATACAGCTAGGGCGCTTCGATTCCAAGCAAGCTTACCATTGCGTTTCTGGGGTGAATGCATCCTCACTGCCGTCTATCCCATTAACCAACTGCCAACGAGAGCCACAGGAAAGGCTCCCTTCGAACTACTCTTTGGCAAGCAGCCGACCTACAGCCACCTGCGCGTCTTCGGTTGCTTAGTCTACTATAAGAACACTCATGCTCACTTGGATACGTTCGAGGAACGTGGACAAGCAGGCACGTTCTTAGGATACGCGTAGAGTAAAAAAGGTTATAGGATTTATAACCTAAGGACGCGTCGGGTTGTCACGTCCCGTGATGTTCAGTTTCATGAGGTCTTCCCATTTCAACGAGAGGTTAGCAGGGAGTTGCACTGGATACCTCGGCCAGTGTTCAGCGCCATGGACAATGAAAGTGCCGCTGTGGACTTCACTTCATCGCCGCGACCAGCGCCACTTGAAACCCCAGCTGCCGAGAACATGTTCGAGGCGTCCAGCACGCCGTCATCCCATGCGGAGCAGCCTGCAATGTCCTCTTCCCCTGCTGGTGCTGATTCCACCGAAGGCGTCAGCGCCACTGGTGCGAATGAGGCAAATGGTGATTCACAACCAGCGCCCATTCCACCCTTGCGGAAAAGTGACCGCCCACGCACAAGACCCAAGTATTTGGAGAATTACCACACTACTTTGCCTTCGGATCGAACACAGGGAAGTACCTCCAATTCAGTTCACTATCCGCTAGCTGCCAGTGTGAGTTATGATGGTTTTAAACCACAGTTTCGTGCTTTTCTTGCAGCTCTTACGCGTGGAGAGGAGCCACGCTACTTCCATCAAGCATTTCGTGATCCCCGCTGGCGCGAAGCAATGCGCCAAGAGATCTTAGCCCTCGAGAAGAACGGGACATGGAGTTTGGTAGACCTACCTCCCGACAAACGAGCAATCACGGCCAAATGGGTATACAGAATAAAGTACTTCCTTGATGGCACTATTGAGCGCTACAAGGCTCGCCTTGTGGCCAAAGGCTACACGCAGATTGAGGGCCTGGATTTTCATGATACCTTCGCACCGGTAGCAAAGCTGGTAACGGTTCGCTGTCTTATTGCTGTTGCTATCAGTTGTGGTTGGGACTTGCACCAATTTGATGTTAACAACGCTTTTCTACATGGCGATCTTGATGAGGAGGTGTATATGGAGATTCCTCAAGGATTTCGTACACCAGGTGATACCCGAGTGTGTCGCCTACACAAATCACTTTATGGGTTGCGTCAGGCATCTCGCAACTAGTACCAGAAGTTCACTGCAGCCTTAACAGAATTCGGTTTTCGTTCCTCACCAGCAGATGCGTCACTTTTCATCCACAAGAAAGGGGATTCGTTTGTAGCTGCTCTTATCTATGTGGACGACGTAATCTTAACCGGTAATGATTCGTCATTCATGACTGAGCTGAAGAAGTTTCTTGATGATCGCTTCAGCATCAAAGATCTTGGCCCTCTCCGGTATTTCTTAGGGATTGAGATGGCCAGGACTGCCACTGGGGTTGTTCTCGGTCAACGTAAATACGTCCTCGACATTTTGGAGGATGCCGGAGCGCAGGGATCGCGACCCAGCGCATTCCCCATCGAGCAAAATCACCACTTGACAGGTTCGGCGGAGGACAAGCTGGCCGATCCCACTCTCTACCGTAGGCTTTTTGGTAGGTTACTGTACTTGACCATCACTCGACCGGACATCACGTACGCGGTCAACATACTCATTCAGCATGTTCAGGCTCCCTGCCAGATGCATATGGATGGAGCATTACGGGTTCTCCGGTATCTCAAACAATCGCCAGGACAAGGGATTTACTTCCCGTATAACAATCCCCTGCAGCTCACTTCTTACTGTGACGCAGATTTGGGGGGGGGGGGGGGGGGGGTGGGGTGTCAGAGCACCAGACGATCGACGACGGGTTACTATATCAGTCTAGGTGGAGCTCTCATATCCTGGCGAACAAAGAAGCATCAAGTAGTAGCGCGCTCTTCGGCTGAGGCTGAGTTCCGTGCCATGGCCAGCACTGTTAGCAAGATCCTCTGGCTGCGCTGGTTATTACAGGAGCTTGATGTTCCTCAGCATGGGCCGACACCATTACACTGTGACAACCAGGCGGCCCTCCACATTGCCAACAATCCCGTTTTCCATGAACGCACCAAGCATGTGGAAATGGATTGTCACGTTGTTCGAGAACGTGTTCAGTCTCGTCATATCTTGCCCGTCAAGGTCCACACTGATCTTCAGCTCGCCGACCTACTCACAAAGGGGCTTGGCGCAGCACAGTTCCATTTCCTTCTGTCCAAGCTGTACGTTCGCGACCTCCACGCTCCAGCTTGCGGGGGAGTATTGGGCCGAGAACATGTTGAGAGACCAGCCCAGCAAACGTCCGCAGCATCCCATGCAGCGCACGTTCATTCTGAGCCCTTGGATGAATTGATTACTTATAATACACATGCTACTGTAACCCTAGGCACTAGAGAAATAGGGTATAAAGAGCATTGTACTGGCCTAGCGCTGAACTAAGAAATAAAATCATCATCTTCACCCCGTAGACGTAAGCCTCACATATCATGAGGAAGAACCACGTTAAACCTTGTGTTCTTCGAGTTTTCGTACTATTTCTCACTCTCCTACCTGTCTACTATTCTACTCTCTAACTACTGCAAAGAACAATTTGCAGACAAACACTACTATAATATCTTTACATTCAACATGCAATCTGGTCCAATATAGCATTATTGAGAAGAGAATAAAAAGGATGTGCTCATCAATGCATGCTTGAGCAAATTCCTTATTTCCTAAACTGTAAAAACTCTCTTAATCTCTAATCTTCTTGCACACATCCGCTGGACTCCTTGTTATTCCCTGAAAAAGCTCTGCAGCACCGCTCTCGCCATATATAGGGTAGACGCAGCCTAGATCCAAAGGTAGCCTATCATAACCCAATCAGATGAATTTTCTCGAGCCATTTCACAGATCTTCCTCAGCATTCCTTCCCTATCAGCAGGCCAAACCATACTAGGAAACAAATGATTTAGCACTTCCTTTCAGGGCCTCCATTGCACATGATGCAACAATCTGTTAGAAACAAAGAAGCTCCACAAGGGAATTAGAGATTGAGAAGAGCAGAAATTAGGGATTTGAAAAGGATTGGGGAAGAACAAGAGATAGAGAGAATTGGAAATTTAGGGATTTAGGTTGAAATATTGTTTATTGACTAATCTAAAAATAATGTTCTCTCCTCTTCAAATACTAAACTAGAATAATTAAAATAACAAAATTGCCACCCCTCACCCAACCGACCCAACCCGTCGATTTCTAACACAATCAATTTCCACTACTCCCCATTCTTTCATCTTATCCTTTGTGGTGATCCTGTCAAGAATGATTAACCAAGTTATGAAGCTGCGCTTAGGAACCATTTATTTCCCCCACAACACCTTATAACAGAATTTCTTCTCTTCATTTGGCCTTGTCGATTCCCAAATTATCTTGATGGAGAACTGTTCCAGAGCTTTGGCTTCCCAATTGACCTTGTTATATATATATTCATTCACATCCAGCCTGTAGAGAAATCAGGTCTAAGTTTTAGGAGTTTCTTCCACAACCAGGATCCTGCTTGCGTTTGTGGCAAGGTCCAGAAATCCCTGTCTCTTAATAAATTTACGCCACCCAAAGAAGCCACTTCTCTTCAACAACATATATCCACACAAGTCTGGCTGCACAGGCTACATTCCAGGAGTGAAGAACTTTGATACCAAAGCCCCCTCTTCCTTTAATTTGGCAACGTCAACTGTTCCCAAGCAACATTTGCCCTACCTTAGCCTTCTCCATACCACATAAAATTTGAGCATGTTTTCTGAATTTTCTTTATAACTCGTTTGGGCATAACATAGACATTCATCCAATATTGAGTTAATGTCATCATATTGAGTTACTTGCTCTCCACGACCTTATTTGACTTGTTATTTTATCTATAAGCAAGCTACAGTTTCCACGGGATAGCCCACCTGATTGGAAAGGAAGACCCAAATACTTCACTGGCAGTTTGCCCTCCTTGAATCCAGAATGTGACAGTGCTCTATCTCTCCATGCTTGATTTATTCCTCCAAAAAATACATCACACTTTTGAGGGTTACACTTTAACCCTTAAAATAGTGTAAAAGCCATCTAGTAACCTCCTCAAACTTTCCAGAGCAAAAGCAGAACCCTCTATGAAGATCAACATATCATCCGCAAAACAGAGGTGGGTCAAGTCAAACCTACTGCTTTGCATTGTGGGTGTTAGGGTAACTCTTTTGCTTGAGCTATTTTTTCAATTAAAGAGGACAACACTTCCATAACTAGGGTAAAGAGTTAAGGAGAAGGGGATCTCCCTACCTTACCCTTTTTGTGCTGCAAAATAGGCAAACAAACTCCCCTGCACTATCACACTAAATCTAGTAGACCTTAAACAATGTAATTATAATTCTAGGTGAATAATATAAATAATAATTACAAGAAATAATATCAATACATTACATAATACATAATTCAAATCCAAATTCCAACAAATAAAATTAATTGATACGGTGACATGCACTTTTCGGTCGACCTCATATAGGATTAGGTCGATCTCATATAGGATTAGGTCGACCTAATCTGTTGTTTCAGTGTAAAAACAGTTTCATGGTGCCTACTTTGGAGATTCATATCTTACAATTGGCTAGATAGAGATTGGAGATCAATGGCTTGTTTTGAAGTTGAAGTGTCACTCTACACATTAAAGTACTTGGGAGCTCAATAAGAAGTCCAGAACACCATTTTTGAACCTGATATTAGGTATGTATTTATACGAAGTCAAGGCATTGGATATCTGTAAGGTTTCAAACAAAAGGGTCGAAGTTGCTACGAAGGCCGGTTTTATTAGCAGCTTGCTTGTGCTCGAAGTCTGCCAGAAAAACAGTCTTCGTAGCAACTTCGACCCTTTTGATTGAAGCCTTACAGATATCCAATCTTTGATCCAATGACTTGAATTTGTATAAAAACATACCTAATTTAACTTGGTCGAGGCTCTTGGACTCGACTCGCATCCATGCTTCTTGAATTGAGCTCCAAAGTAGGCTTCACAAACACGTTCCCAGACTTAGCCATTTTCAGCCAGTTTTCCAGTTTTGGCATAGCCTTTTGATCAAGTTCAAAAATGGTCTTCTGGACTTCCTATCTAGCTCCCAAGCACTTCAATGTGTAGAGGGACATTTCAGTTTCAAAAAAAGCCATTAATCTTCAATTTCCATCGAGCCAATTGTAAGATATGAATCTCCAAAGTAGGCACCATGAAACTGTTTTTACACTGAAACAATGATTAGGTCGACCTAAGCTTAAATGAGGTCGACCTAATCCTACATGAGGTCGACCTAATCCTAACTGAGGTCGACCGAAAAGTGCAAGTGGAGGGGTTTTTTGTGATAGTGAGGATTGAGGTGTTTGGAACTGAAACTTTAATTGAACTTTAATTTTGGGACTTTTCCTCTTTGTCAAACTCCAAAACAAGTGTTCGAGAAAGTGTACATACTACATAGACAAGCGGAGCGGAAAGCGCTCCTAGCGCTTCTGCGGGAGAAAACGTCTCCTAGGCTAAGCTTCGGTGGTGAAAGCGGTGTAAAGCGCAGAGGAAGCATTGTTAAGTTGGCATGTGTGAAATTTTAGTGTCAAAAATTGGGGGCCTTAAACACATCGCACCTGTTAGGTTAGAAGCTCGCCTCCTTTGCTTCTTCCGCTCTCGATCCCTCCCAATAGCATCTATCAACATCTTATTCGCTCTTCCTGGCCGCTGCGCTTCTTATCTAGCAGTGGTTCTTTAATCCGTCAATCATTCCTGCCATCACTTCTCAATCTCGCTCAGTCCTCAAATGGCCTCTCATCAGGGTGCCGTATGGTTTGCTTCGGTTAACCAAACGAAAATCATTAAAAACCCCAAAAAGCAAACTAGGATATTTACCCAAAACCGATCCTGAACCAGTTACGAGTTTATTGCTTTTTTATGAACCAAAACTCGATAAGTCGTTAATGATTTCGGTTTTGGTTAGAACAAATCAAAATCTACATCCCCTATTAAAACCAAAATCCATCCACCTCTCAACTATTGTTTTTTTTTTTTTTTTGGTTTTTTGGTATAATTAATCCAAAGCACGAACCGATTTGAAAACGAAAACTCAAAATCAATATGGTCCTTAAAGGTTTGTGTCACGATTGTTTCTTTGCGGATCGGAAAATTGGAGGATTCGACAATGCAAGAAAACGAAAGCACACACGCGACACACGATTTACGTGGTTCACTTACACAATGTGTGTTAGTTAGTCCACGGACAGGAGAGAGCCAGTTTCACTAGGGGTGGCTATACGGTCCGGTCCGGTTAAATTGGACCAAATTGATCCGGTCCCAGTCCGGTCTTTTCGGGAATATAAGGACCAAAGATTGGATTGGATACAGTCCGGTCTTGATCCGGTCCGGTCTTGATCCGGTCCGGTCTTGACCCGGTCCGGTCCCAATTTTATCTTGATTTTATGTGTTGGGGGTCTCTTATCCGGTCGTTACCCGGTTTTTTACCTCAAATCTAAGCCCAAATATGAGATTGCATTGTTTGCTATCCGGTCCCAATCCGGTCCCGGTCCGGTTTTGGGTAAAACCAAACAGTCCGGGACCAAATAGCCAGCCCTAAGTTTCACTATACTTCAAGGAGATACAAATTACAGAGGAGTATGATAAGTATTTATAGTATTTCTCCTAGGTCTACTCAAATAACATTGAGCCCATACACCAAAGGCCAGGGGCATTGCCCCTGGACCTCATTAGCTGACCGGGCAGCGAGACCCCCGTGACTTCCATTCGTAGCGGCGGATAGTCCGATTCAAGCAATATCAACAAATCTCCATCTTAACTTGAATCCTCTTCCTCTGAAACCTCTGATGTACTCTGATCCTTCTCTCCCTCCTGGTATCAATGCCCCTTAGGGCAAATTCACCCACTCAAGAAATTTAGCTAGTCCAAGCAGTGTTGGAACTTGCCATGTGGAACCTGCTTCGTGAACATGTCAGCAGGATTATCCACAGTGTCAACCTTCTTCACCTTAATCCACTTCTTTGTCCTCAAGAAATGATACCTCACGTCGATGCGCTTAGTCCTCTCATGACTGACTTGATCCGTGGCGAAGAATATTGCACTCAAATTTTCGCAATACACCACTGCCTAATCATGATGTAGACCTAGATCACCAACCAGCTAGGGATGGCAATTTCGACCTGACCCGATTTACCCGACCTGTTTGACCTGTTTTGGGGCAGGTCAAACCCGCCCCGTAGGTGGGGCGGGGCGGGCATGGGTACCTCTCATCGACCCGACCTGCCCTGACCCGCCCCATTCTCGACCCGTTCTTGCCATTATTACATATAATATTAGTCAAATTACTTGGGATTTTCCTCTTATTACATTATATTTTAGCTATAATAAAGTTGTAAATAAGTGAAAACCTTAATTTCTTCAATAATTTAACTAAATTTTATCATATTATGGTTTCTTTCTTGGTCTTTTAATGAAAATAACGAATGTTTCTAATGTTTTTCGCATAAATTACATACCCAATGGGTCGACCTGCCCCGACCCGTGCCCCGTGATAAATTACCCGACCTCGACCCGACCTGCCATGGGGCGGGTATGGGTATCGAGATACCCGCCCCGGACCTGCCCCATTGCCATTCCTACAACCAACCCCTTCAACCATATTCACTCCTTAGCAGCTTCTGTCAATGTCATGTACTTTGCTTCAGTAGTAGACAATGTCATTGTTGACTGCAGAGTTGCCTTCCAGCTCACTAAAGAACGCCCAAGAGTGAATACATAACCAGTCATCGATCTTCTTGTGTCAACATCGCCAGCATAGCCAGAATCTGAATAACCAGCTAATAAGCACTCTGTATCACTTCGGAATCTAATCCCTACATCAGATATACCCTTAAGATATTGGAAGATCCTCCTCACAACGTGCTGAAAAGACTAACAGTGTGTGCAAGGCCAGGTCTAGTGCATACCATATAGTACATCAAACTACCAACTGCACTAGCATATGGGACTCTCGACATGTACTCCTTCTCAGCCTCTGACTCCGGTGCATAAACTGAGGATAGATGAACATTTGAAGCACTAGGAGTATTCAAGGGCTTTGCTGAAGACATGCCATACCTGGAAAGTATCTTCTCGATGTAGCTCTTCTATGACAAAAAAAAGCTTCTTCTTTGACCTATCCCTGTAAATCTCCATACCCAAAATCTTTTGAGTAGCTCCCAAATTCTTCATCTCAAACTCAGCACTGAGAAGCCCCTTTACCCTCTGAATATCATACTTCGACCTCGCAGCTATGAGCATGTCATCCACAAACAAACCAAATATATCATTGAGCCATCTGCTGCCTTGCTATGATATACACAACAATCATAGGGACTCCTGTTGTAATTTGTATCAAGCATGTAGCTGTCAAACCGCTTGTACCACTGCCTCGGAGATTGCTCAAGTCCATACAAGGACTTCTTCCACTTACAAGCATAGTCTTCTTTTCCTAGAACTTGGAATCTCTCTAGCCGAGTCATGTAAATTTTCTCCTCCAACTCTTCATGTATGAAAGATGTCTTCATGTCTAGCTGCTCGAGCTCCAAGTCATAATGTTCCACTATTGCTAGTAGTACCCTGATCGAAGTATGTCTGACCATTGGTGAGAAAATCCCATTGTAGTCAACTCCTTCCATCTATGAGAAGCCTCTTACAACTACCCGAGCTTTAAATTTGATGCCCTCTTCAGAAGTGATTCCTTCCTTCTTCTTGTAGATCCACTTATTTGTAACAATCTTCCTTCCCTGTGGACGTTTGACCAACTCCCAGGTCTTGTTCCTGTCAAGGGACTCCATCTCGTCTCCTATTGCAACAAGCCACTGAGCGGCTTCGCCCCACAAAACTGCTTCTCTTTAGGATTGTGGTTCACCCGCATCTACTTCTTCAGCCACCTGAAAAGCATACGTCACCATATCCTCGAAGCCATACCTCTGTGGAGGTATTCTTGTAGTCGCCCTCTTTGGTCTACCGGAAGGTCTAGACTGTTTAGCTCCTGCACTGGATTCTAAATTTTCTGGCTAATCAGAGACATTCCCATGTTGATCTTCTCCACCTTGGTGCTCAAACTCACTCTCTTTGAGAGTTTGAAGCTCCACTTGTTTATCAAAATTCCAGCTATCTCCAACAACAGTAACCTTCATCATGGGGTTAAACATAAATTTCTCATCAAATATCATATTCCTGATAAGTATAAGTTTATGCCCAGAAGGTGACCAGACTCGAAATGCCTTAACTCCATCTTCAAAACCGATAAATACCCCCTTCTTTGCTTTTGAATTTAGCGTACTCTCATCCACATTATAGTAAACAAGACAACCAAAAAATTCAATGAAGATTAGTCAACAGGGTTATCATACCACACCTCATAAAGAGTTTTGCACTCTATAAATGTGTGAGGTCCACGGTGGATGAGGTAGCACACCATGTTTACTGCTTCTGCACGGAATCTTCTCTCCAATCCAACATTAGAGAGCATGCACCTTGCTCTCTCCAACAATGTCTGGTTCACTCTCAGGTTGTTCATCCGGTTTTTCTCGTCTCCCATATTGTCCTCTTGCTCGGAGTCGCTGCTAACCTGACCATCAACCTATTCTTCTGTCGTAGTCAGTCTCGCTCGTTCCACTCTCCTAAGCTGGCGACAAGTTTGTTCTAGCTCCGGATTTGACGGTAGTAATGCGCCCGACTGGCTACGGGTCATGCAATACCTGCACACAGCTAAGCAAGCAAACATGTGAAGGAAAAAAGTGGGGCAAGCAAACCAATCAATGCGGAAAAGAAATGCTAAAGTAACAGAAATCACGTTTCTTCAACAACCTAGCCGTCCCCGGCCATGGCGCCAAAAACTTGACTCGCTACGACACAACTCCTAACAATGGCCAAGTGTAACCATTGAAAGGGACTGCAGTATAGTGGCTCAAGTAATAAATATTGAATCCACGGGTTTCTAGAATTACTATTACTCAACTTTCATTCATTATCTAGCAAACCATAGTAAAATGGAAGAACTAAAACTACTCTAGCAAACTACAGCTAAAGTTAATCTAATTACAGTTGGCAACTCACTTAGGTGTGATTCCCTCCCTGGCCACTAGCCAGATTGATGATCTCTAACCTGTTTCACTATCATTTACAATGCGGAGAACCCTTGACTATACCTTGAGTCTCGACTAAAGGAACAAGGCCCTCTTGAGTCAATTGCCTAGAGGGACGTATCCTTCTCTAGAACAACATATCAAGGCGTTCTGAACTATATTCCCTCTATCGAATGATATTCCCAATCGATACAAACCAGTGAATTGACCCTCGACTAATGCAATCGATCCAATATTTTCAATCTATGGTGCACTATTGACAAATCAGGTATTCGCTCTTATAGGATCAAAGCAGAATCAATAATCTCGACTAAAGCAGAATTGAATCATGAAAACATGCATAGATTGAATATTAACTCAAGATTATCAAGTAAGAGTACTCATACAATCATCCAATCAAACAAACATGACTAGGGTTCCTCAAAACCTAAGTGAAGGGAAGTTACTCCAAAGAGAAGAGAGAGACTGCAGTAATAATCTTCAGATGATCAGTCATCAAGTCTGGGCTTGTTCCTCAAGCTTCCAAGGCGAAGAAATCATCCAACTCCACTCCAAGATTGTCTCAAATCGTCTTCTCTCTCTTTGGTTCGTCCCTTGGGTGTTTAAGGATCTTAAACCCAGCTCTCTCCCTCCAACAATGCACAA